CCACCGAGCACCGACCGTGGAGCACCAGCGGGCGAACGACCGACTGCGACGGTCACGGCGAGACGCACAAGGCACGAACACACGGGGCACCAACCCTACGTACGCGTGGCACCAGTGCGCGTGCGACGGGCTGCACCACAGGCGACACCAACGCATCGGGCACTGGACGGGCACCAGCGCGCGAACGTCTGACGGCGCGGGTCAGGGCCAGACGCATGGCGCACCAACGCAGAAGGCACAACACATGTGGCAACAACGCGCGAACGGCCGACTGCACCAGGCAGCGCCAAGTTCCGTACAGCCCAAGCGAAACAAAAACCTAAGTGCAACCACGGTGATCAGGGAACACGCGATATCCCTTAGTGCAGACGCTATTTCGGGAAGACGGTAACGATCGTCTTTCAAACGACAGCCCGCTGGGCCCCCTTCCAACTCCTCATTGGGTGCTCCGCCCCCCCCCTCCACGCCTCATTGCGGAGGGCCGGCAGAACTGGACACCTGGCGTCACAGACAACTTTGGACGCCCGAGTTATCCGGGGTAACTCGGGTCCGGGGTAACTCGGGTTTGGGTTCCCGAAAAACGAACCCGAGTTATCCCTGACCCGAGTTATCCCTGATGATTCGGGGCTCTGGACGCCCGAAATATCCGGGGTAACTCGGGTCCGGGGTAACTCGGGTTTGGATTCCAGAAAAACGAACCCGAGTTATCCCTGACCCGAGTTACCCCTGATGATTCGGGGCTCTGACAACTCACCATGTCGTGGAAAATCACCGCTGGAACTCATGGCCCCATACACACACGCGAGGCCTATCGAAACGGATCGATCCGCGATGGCCCTGGGGCCCCGAAGCCGTCAAGAGTGGCCGCCACGACCTTCCAGCGAAGGCCAGATGCCAGGGGAGCCAACCCCTCCCGCGGGGCGTGGGGTCCTCCGCGGGGTCCACGTCGCTCGAGCCGGGGAGCCGGAGCGGCAACGCCGGGGGGCTCTGGAGCGGCGGCTGCACCTGGGGAAACCACGAGGCACCGGCACTGCTGTCCCCCGACCTCTCCCCAGACCCCCTCGAGTCTTGAAAAAATCACGACGGGAGGTTTTTCTATGTTTTCGGCCTCCGGGGACCCTTACCGGCCCTTGGGACCGTCAAAAAACGGCTCGGGGTGAAAAACCGATCCCGGCGAATGGGTCCAGACCTCTGGGGGTCGCGTCATGAAAAAATCAAGGGCAGCAGCGTGGAATAGGGATTCCCCGCTGCAATGTCCCGGCGGAGACCCGCGGGCCACGCGGGGCTCGTCGTCGGGCCCTCCGCCAGTGGCTCCTCCTTCTTCTCCTTGTCGTCCCCCGCCCCCAATCGACCCCCTTGAAACCCTGCGGGGGGCAGTCCCACAAGCGTGGCCGAAATGTGGCTGAGGCAACTCCACTCGCCTGATCCCCCCGGGAGAAACGATCAGAAGGGGGGTTGCACTCGAATGCGCGACGACCTTGCGCGGTGGCTCACGCAGGCCGCTCGCGCGGCAGACCGCGTCACCGTAACAGCGCCTACGCGCGACCTTACGAGGGCGGCATGCGCGCGAGTGCCCGCGCAATCGACCTCCTTGAAACCCTGCAGGGGGCAGTCCCACGAGCGTGGCCGAGATGTGGCTGAGGCAATTCCACTCGCCTGACCCCCCAGGGAGAAACGATCAGAAGGGGGGTTGCACTCGAATGCGCGACGACCTTGCGCGGTGGCTCACGCAGGCCGCTCGCGCGGCAGACCGCGTCACCGTAACTTTACGAGGGCGGCATGCGCGCGAGTGCCCGCGCAATCGACCCCCTTGAAACCCTGCGGGGGGCAGTCCCACGAGCGTGGCCGAGACGTGGCTGAGGCAATTCCACTCGCCTGACCCCCCAGGGAGAAACGATCAGAAGGGGGGTTGCACTCGATTGCGCGACGACCTTGCGCGGTGGATCACGCAAGCCGCTCGCGCGGCAGACCGCATTAAGGCGCCTACGCGCCACCTTCCGCGGGCAGCTTACGCACAAGTGCACGCGCAATCGACCCCCTTGAAACCCTGCGGGTGCGCCCTCCCGCGGGCGCTTTGAAAGTGTCGCCCGGTTGCGGTTGCGGTTGCGCCCTCCCGCGGGCGGGTTGAAATGTGTCGCCCGGTTGCGGTTGCGGTTGCGGTTGCGCCCTCCCGCGGACGGGGTGAAATGTGTCGCCCGCTTGCGGTTGCGGTTGCGCCCGCGGGCGCTTTGAAATGTGTCGCCCGGTTGCGGTTGCGGTTGCGGTTGCGCCCTCCCGCGGGCGGGTTGAAATTTGTCGCCTGGTCGCGGTTGCGGTTGCGCCCGCGGGCGCTTTGAAATGTGTCGCCCGGTTGCGGTTGCGGTTGCGGTTGCGCGCTCCCGCGGGCGCTTTGAAATGTGTCGCCCGGTTGCGGTTGCGGTTGCGCGCCCGCGGGCGCTTTGAAATGTGTCGCCCGGTTGCGGTTGCGGTTGCGCGCTCCCGCGCTTTGAAATGTGTCGCCCGCGTTGCGGTTGCCGCGGCGGGCGCGCCCGGTTGCGGTTGCGGTTGCGCGCTCCCGCGGGCGCTTTGAAATGTGTCGCCCGGTTGCGGTTGCGGTTGCGGTTGCGCCCCGCGGGCGCTTTGAAATGTGTCGCCCGGTTGCGGTTGCGGTTGCGCGCTCCCGCGGGCGCTTTGAAATGTCGCCCGGTTGCGGTTGCGGTTGCGGTTGCGCGCTCCCGCGGGCGCTTTGAAATGTGTCGCCCGGTTGCGGTTGCGGTTGCGCGCCCCGCGGGCGTTTTGAAATGTGTCGCCCGGTTGCGGTTGCGGTTGCGGTTGCGCGCTCCCGCGGGCGCTTTGAAATGTGTCGCCGCGCGGTTGCGGTTGCGCGCCCGCGGGCGCTTTGAAATGTGTCGCCCGGTTGCGGTTGCGGTTGCGGTTGCGCGCTCCCGCGGGCGCTTGAAATGCGTCGCCCGGTTGCGGTTGCGGTTGCGCGCTCCCGCGGGCGTTTTGAAATGTGTCGCCCGGTTGCGGTTGCGGTTGCGCGCTCCCGCGGGCGCTTTGAAATGTGTCGCCCGGTTGCGGTTGCGGTTGCGCGCTCCCGCGGGCGCTTTGAAATGTGTCGCCCGGTTGCGGTTGCGGTTGCGCGCTCCCGCGGGCGCTTTGAAATGTGTCGCCCGGTTGGGTTGCGGTTGCCGCCGCCGGGTTGCGCTCCCGCGGGCGGTTTGAAATGTGTCTCCCGAGCTGTCCCCTGACGTTCAGTCAGTCAGTCAGTCATCAGTCAGCGGGCGGGCACGGAATTTCACCTGGCTCCGCCGGGAATCATGACGTCGGGGGTCTGGGTCCCGGGGTGCGTTCTGCCCAGGCTTTCGAGGCGGACCGAGCGCCGGCGACGAGGGCCTCCCAGGGGCCCCAAAGGTAGAGGTAGGGATGCCTCCCCTGACCTTCCAGGAGGGCTAAAAAATAGCACCCGACTTAAAAACCTATCCCAAAGCTATTCTACGTCTTGGTTTTAGGCTGTTTCGCTTAGCTTTTTTAGGTTTTTAGGTCTCCAGTGCTAAAAAATAGCTCTCTGGAAGGTCAGGGTCTTCCCCCTCGGAGCACCAAGTCCTGACTCGAGCTGGCCAGCATGCGCCCGCGAAGCCGCTGGGGGTCGCCGTCGCGGTTGCTGGGCGGTGGGCCGCGGCGGAGCGCGCGCGGCAGCGGCGGCTTGCGCCGTGGCTTGGGCCGTCTCCGTCGGGCGAGGGCGGCAGGGAGGGCAAGGGCGAGAGCTACGACGACGACGACGACGGGTCCACGGGCTGCGGCCTCGCCAGATCCCGATGCGGCCTCCTCCTCGGCCGCCTTCTCCTCCTCTGGCTCCTCCTGCTCTTTCTCCTCGTCCCACCCCTCTTCCACCTCCCCCCCCACCCCCTCGCCTCCCCTTCCCCTCCCCCTCCCCCTCCCCCTCCTCCTTCTCCACCTCCTCCTCCTCCTCCTTCTCTTTCTGCTCATGCTGCTAAACTCCTGCCTCTCTCCTTCCGCTCCGCGTTTGCTTTTCCCCCCGTGCTCCTAGCAGAACCTGGTGTACATGAGAGAAGCCCTGGAATGATTTGAAGCACACTTTACAGGAAGGCGGATGATGTGGAGGAGGTGAACATAATTTACTAAGAGAAGCGGGGGGGGGGGGGGGGGAAACCACTAGTCCGCCAACCCCCATTTACGGGGGGGGTAAATGGCGTGTCAGACATTTGGATGTCCCCTTCAATCTTTCCCCTTCCCTCGGCGTTCCAAATCCCACAGTCGGCTTGCCAAGGAGGAGGAGGAGGAGGAGGAGGAGGAGGAGGAGGAGGAGGAGGAGGAGGAGGAGGGGGAGGAGGGGGGATGAGGGGGAGGAGGAGGAGGAGGAGGAGGAGGAGGAGGAGGAGGAGGAGTAGGAGGAGGAGGAGGAGGAGGAGGAGGAGGAGGAGGAGGAGGAGGATGGGTCCCGCGCAGCCTCCAATTCCACCCTCCGTGGCCAACAGGGTGCCCGAGATGCATGTGAGACGGTTCCGGAGCAGCTCCAACACGCCGCTGAGGCCTCCCACACATCTACGAAGTCCTGCAGACGGTCCTAGAGGCCCCAAGAGTCCAAGGGTGCCTCTAGAGGCAAAGCTGGCAACGTTTCCAAGTGGTTTTGGCAGAGTTCTGGGCTTCCCGGAAATCCAAGACGGCCCGAGAAGGCCACGACTGCCCAAGAGGCTCCCGAGACGGCCCGCGAACAGCCCAAGGGAGCCCTAAGACAGCCCAAGAGGCCCAGGAAAAAGTGGATGACGACGAGGACCAGGACGAGGACAAGAAGGATAACGCGGAAGAGTCGACACAAACACACACACACTTATAGATTTGTGTAAATATACATATATAGAGAGAAATATTGCAGGCGAGTGAGGAAGAGGTGGGGGAATACGCCGACGAGGAGCAGACGCCAAAGAAGGAGCGCGAGGATGAAGAGGACGACGAGGCGGACGAACGGAAAGCAACAACACTTGGGTGCCCCCCGCCACGTGATGGGCACCGGCGCCAAGGGCTGCTGCCAACGCTGCTGTCGTCGTGGTCGTGGTGCTCCGATCGGTCAGGGTGGTCATGTCGGACTCGTCCAGCTTGTCCTCGGGAGGCGGAGAGGGCATGGAAAGAGGCTGCTGAGAGGAGAGAACGGACGGGAGGGACGGGGAGGGGGAGGAGGGAAGGAGGTGTAGGAGAAAAAAAAGGAAGCGGTGGGGGAGGGGAACACCGGAGAAGAGCAGGGAGAGGAAAACAGAGGGGCTGGTATTCGAGTCGATGGAGCAGTTCGCGAGAGCACTGGGCTTCTTTGAACAGTGGAAGGCTGGCACGGACCAGGACCCGCCAGTCCTCCCCGCGGACGCTGCTGCATCCCACCTGTCCTCCGTTCCTCGGGAGCGGCCAAGAGGGGGGTGTCCAAGAGGGGGGGGTGCAAATCATGACCGGCGGCAAGTGCGCGGCCCAGCGGGGGGGCCAGGGACGTAAAGAAATAAGAAGAGGCGCCATGAAATCTGGGGAAATATCATGGCCCGCGCCATGATATCCACCCCCCCCTAGTCATCACCCCCCTCTGTTCCGCCCCCGAGTTCCCTAGCTGCTCTTGTGGTAGCGGGCGTTCTCGGATGCTCGACCCAATCGGCCTTGGTCGACCAGCAGCTGCCCCGAGCGTGGCACGTGCCGCGGCTGCTTCGCTCCAGCTCGCAGCCGGCGCGAACTGCTGGCTGCGAGACGCCGGATCGGGCTCGTGCGAGGAGGAAGCGCACGAATCGACGAGTCGGTGCCGAGGCCGCCCCCCGCACTGGCGGTCCAGCCGACGCTCCGAAGGCCGCGCCTGCCGCGGGGGCGCGTGGCGCAGCGAAAGCCACTGTGCAGGCCAGGCGCTGGAGAGAGGCCGCGGCCTCTCGGCAGCGGGCGGAGAGGAGGGCGGCAACACCTGAGCCGGGGACAACCTGCCCGAACCCAGGGGACAAAACCTAAGCCCTGGGAAGCCTCGCGTCGCGCGCTGCCCGAGCAGCGGGAAGGCATAGGAGGAGGAGGAGGAGGAGGAGGAGGAGGAGGAGGAGGAGGAGGAGGAGGAGGAGGAGGAGGAGGAGGAGGAGGAGGAGGAGGAGGGGGTGGAGGAGGAGGAGGAGGAGGCACGGCCGTAGCGCCCCCCAGAAGAGCCGAAGCTCGACTGGGAGGTCCGAGTTCAGTGAGCTCCCGCGGGGCGCGAGTGCGCCAGGGGGAGAGGGAGGGGAGGGCCCCGCCTGGCCCCGAGGGTCGAGGCGCCTGCACGCCGCGCTCCGTCACGCCGTAGTGGAAGTGGGCGTATGCGGGCGGCGGGCGCGGGCGACGACACGACGAGGGGCGGGGCCAAAAAATCAGTCAGAGCTATCGTCGTCCCCCCTGGAGGGGATCACACGGGGTGAAACCAGCCGAGGGGCGGTCCTTCGACGGGACGGCCTCTGGACCTCGATCGAGGTCACACCACACGCACCTTCACCTCTCACGCCTTCGGCCCCAGGGACAACGGACAGGCGAGAGGAGGGAGGGCCCCCAACGGGGCAGGAGACGGCAGGGGAGGCAGCACGATTATCCTCGCGCCCACCCTGCATGCAAGAGGCGGGCCTGCCCTCATCCGTGGTACAAGCATGGCCAGAGAGCCACTCTCCAGACTTCGGATGTAGGCCAGCCTCAATCCTCCTTATAACCATGCGCTGATTAGCCTTCGTGGAGGCGACGGCTGAAAACCCAACACACCTGGAGGCTAACTTCACGAAATTGCCGAGTGTGCCATGCCCACCGCACTTGCGGCAGCAGAAGTGATCAAAGTTTTTAAAAACGTCGTGACCGAGGGCCGAGAACTGGGGGAACCGGTCGGGCCCACAGGGCCCCGAGGGGGGCACAGGGGAACACGGGCCAACCACACCAGCACTGTCGGGCCCCTCGGTCTGACGGCACAGCTCAGCCTCCCTCTGTGAGAAATCCAAAGCCACCTGCACGGCCTCGGATCTCATCTGGGAAAACCCCTGGTCGGAAGCATGTGCCTTCCACCACTCCGAGGCCGCCAGGAGCTGCACGGGACTTGCAATGCAATCACGCGTGGCTCTCTGTGTGAGCATAGCATTGAGAGAGCTGAGGCTACGGGCGAACCTGCCACACACACGGCACCTCCAAACAGCAACCTTCTGGCTGCGCCAGATCTCGTGGCTGGTGATCGTAAGCTTGGGGGGAAGGGGGGGAGTGGAGGAGGCCAGGGGCACTTCAGGATCACCAGACCACGCTTGGGACTGCAACATCCTCTGAGCAGCCCATGCTAAGAACTTAAGCGTGGACTTATGATATTTATACTCCCCCGCCAAGGCCTTACAGAATCCATCCGCGTAACTGTGGGACTCCGAGCCGAGCTTCGCGAAAAAGTCCGCCCAAAGGTTTCCCGCCCAGTGCTCGAGAGAGATGCCTTTTTCAATCGCATCATCGAGCGAAAGGTGGGCGGGGCACCAAACAAATTGGGGGGGGTCGTGCTGCTGGTTCCTGAAAATGTCCGCCCAAATCGACGCATGCTTGGCAAGTCCAGCAGCCTGCTCTGGGCCCCAAGCGTTGCCTTCACGAACGCTGGCCTGCAGGTCGGACACAATTTTTTCCACGCTAGGCGCATAGTGCAGAGCCTGGCGTATTGACCACCGCTCCGCACGTCCGATTGTTTGGCGCACGCCAGGCAAGGCGCCAAAGACAGCACGGACTGGAATTAAATCTTGACTTAATTGGACCGCAGCCCAGCCAGCCCGAGCAACCTCAGGGAGACTAGACTGGAGGCAGCTCCCGTCGACGAAACAAGTTGGCCCCCACGGGCCTGAAACGTTGCCCCAGTGCAGGACCTGAGGGTGGGCCTCGGGGGGCTCCAAAGCCACAGAGAGCGAGGGGATCCCATACGAGAGATAGGTTGTCTCGGCCTGCGGGTTCCCCAAAATATCAAGACAAGAATTAATTAAGGCACTCCTATGGCTCAGAATCTCGTCGGGGACCTGCTCGCCAAGCGCGTCAACTCCGTCCATTACCAAGCCCGCACAGTCGTACCAGATGTGCCCGTAGGAGCCCAGGGGAGCCTGACACACACGACATTCGGGGCCTATGCGGTATCCCTGGGAGGCACGCACACTTGGTAGAAGAATAACATCAGCCATGACGGCCGAGAGAGCACCCAGTTGACGCGGACACCGAATCGCTTGAAGACCTCCTCGCAACGCCCTGTGCCATACCTGCTCGGTGCCCTGTGACGTAGGCATGTGATGAAGCAGCCGACGATGTTGCCACCTCTGAATCCCTTCGATCAAATGTAGCTTGACGTCGTACGGGCCAGTCGTGACTAGGTTTATCGTGAAATTAGTGTCCGAGAGGAAGGTGTGGGCGCTGGTCATGGCCCATCCGATACGATGCAGGGAGAGCCAGCAGGCCGACATGGGCCCCTTCGCGATCTGCCACGTCGGGTTGTCGTCGAAGTAGCCACGTAGTTGGGCCCAGGCCCTCTGGGCCCTCCCAAGACACACTCTTCTGTCCCAAATCCAGGCCGCGTAGCGGAGACATATGGTGAGCGTGCAGTCGAATATGGGATCGTAGAAGGGGTCGCGGTGAGCGAGGAGATAAGCTGTGACCCCACCATGCTTTTTGCCTCCTGCGAGAGTAGAAGCCAATTGCCTGAAATACCGAAGAGACACATCTGAAACTCCAGAAACTCCGCCACCATGCCCTGCGGCCGGTAGCGCTCCTGTTCTGAACAAGAGCGAGGCCTTGCGCCCGACGGCGCTGCGCAGCGCCATGTACTTGCGGCGGCGCTGCTGCAGGGACTTGAGGCGTGCCTTCTCCTGGAGCCTCAACACTTTGCCACCAGCTAACTCATGCCCCAGGTTTCGCATCCATGGCCGAAGCTGAAGTTTGAGCTGCGCCGCACCATGTCGAAATAACCTCTTGGACCTTCCCGAGGCCGCCACGATTCCAGACTTCTTGGGCTGGGTGTTCAGTCCTAAGAGCTGGGCATCACACCTGAAGATCCGTACAGCCTTCTCAAGCTGCGGCAAGGTGTCAGGCGTCGTGGCGACCAGCTGCAGCGACACGTCATCTACTAACGCCCGCGGAGTCACGCACGGGGCAATCTTGTTGAGGCGCTTGAGCGCCCGAAAAGTCAGCACGAAGAGCATACCTGTGGCATGGCTGCATCCAGCGAGGATGCCTTGGAAAGCCTCGAGGGACTCGGAAAGGCTTCCGAATGCCTTCAGACGCCGTGGTTGCCTGTACAAATCCACGAGCATCCACACGAGACGGGGCGGAAAGCTGACAGCCTCTGCCTCCTTGATGAGTTGGGCAGGGTGAATCATTTCGAAACACTTAATCATATCCAGCAAAACTGAAATAGAGATCTCGCCGAGCAGGGACGCTAGCTCCGCGGACAGGTTGTGCGCAAAGGCGCTGTCCGTGGAGCTATGCCGCTTCCTGGTGCCCCAGATCTCGAGACAGCCATGCGACTCCTGCCAGCTACAAGTGACGGGCTTCCTAATCTTGCCCCATACTCGGCAGAGGGTGTTAATGAGGGCTATCAAGCGGACTCCCCCATCAGGCTTGGCCAAACGCACCATCTCCGTCCAAACACGATCGTTTGGCCAAGCTAGCTGGGCTTCGCATCCGTTGAACAAATACGCTATGCCTTCGTAGGCGCCCTGACTGAGGTGGAGCAGAGCCCTGGGCGCTATGCGCGAAGGGCCTGCCGCCGTGTTGATCTTAAACAGCTGGATGCAATCCTCCACCTCTGAGGCAGTGATGCAAGGGAGTGGGGGCCAGGCGTGGGCCCCATCGGGGAGCGGAAGCTTAGGGCAACCGTGGGTCCGCCAGATGTCAGCCCATGGCTGCATCTCCTGATCAGCAAGCTGGAAGGGTTGGGACTTGGAACCAGCAGCAATGACCTCTTGGACCGCTCGCACCTTGCTGAACCTATGGGCCTGAGACGCTCCTCTCTGAAAGGCTTCTCGGGCCCAGGCCAGCCAGGCAGAGCTCGCGGCGGCTTCGGCAGCCCCTATCTTGGCCTTGGCGGTGAGATGCACATGCGTAAGGACTTCAGCAAAATCCGCTCTGGCCA